ATTCTCTCTTTGCTGTCTGTACTACAGAGGGAATCAATAAGGGCTTTCCAGTCTTTATACGTAAAAGTGATTTGTATACCTTTTTCTAGCTTCTTCGCACGGTGCCGTATGTTCTTCGAGACATGCTCTGTCTTTTTCGAGACATGGCCGCTACGCCTGTTAGCCATATTCCAGATGTAGTCGAACGAAGGTGCCGTACACTTGGTCGAAAGCTACAAACACCCCTTTTTATGGCGTGCAGCACTTCCGTGACTTTGTTTGTAGCCTTGACTCATTGAAAAGATGGCTTCAGATTGCTCTGGGTCCAAATTCCGCGGTCTTTTGCGAAGATTCTACAAGAATTTGAGTGTTGTTCAGGTAATATGACCCTATGCTGTCAGTTATAGGGTGGTTCGTTGAACGCAGGTCGTGGACGGTACACTTGCACATTTAAATCTAGGAGCCATCTCACGGACCACATTTGCAGCCTGAGAAGATTACTTTGCAGAACTTCTCTGTCATCGTCGGCCAGCATGATCTTAGCGCACTCCAGTTTGTGAAGGCTGCCATTAACACAAAGGAGGAAGGATAAAGGACCAGGAGTGGAACCTTGAGAAGCACCACTAACCAAGTTCATCCAGTCCGATTTGTCCTCCCGAGGTTTTCGACCGACAAAAAACGTTCTGATCCAGTTCAGAAGTTTGTTGATTAGGATCAACTAATCTAAGGAACGCGAGACGCTAATTATTGATTAGCCTCACTTTACCATGTGGCTCTTTTTATTTTCCTCAGAAACCTCGAAATCGTTGGAGGCCATCACTGGATCCAACCACCCGACCGCACCCTGGAACCACGGAGGCGCTCGACTTTCCTCGCGCCCCCATAATCATGGCAGAAGTGACAGACTTTATGGATTGGTTTGCTAAACTTAATATGTTGGAGGCTAAGCACGCAGTGCGGGTTGCCGAACTGGACCACGGTGAAGTGCGTGTCTTTACTGAACTCCCCACCCCCACCGCCACCGTCGTAGACGCATCATCATCATCCAACACCGTAAGACAGAGTGTCTGTTTTCTCTTTCTATCGGCTGTAGACTTGAGCTTCGTCTTTTCTAACTCTGTCCTTCCGATCTGCAATTCCAG